GGTGGTCTAAAAATGATAAATGTATATGAATTCTACAAATGTAACTGACAAAACTGACTACAGACTACCAGAATCACGACGGCCATGAAGACCATGAGACCAAATCTACCAAGAGCTTCTGCTGAGAAAATGATGCGCTGTTCAGTTCACGCTGCTTGGTCACTGCGGGCCACGTCCCCAGCCTCACCCACAATCATAGTCCGAAACGTCTCTGTTTGTGCTACACTATCCTCGTAAATATTTTTGGCAAGGTGCCTCGCTTGATAGCCTTCTTTTCCCGTTAAATAAAGCAGCATCATCAGGAGCGACAAGCACACACGGCCGACAAAAGTCTCCGTTCGTTGTTATACTAGACGGTGAAAGGTTGTGGATCGAGATATTTACGACGAGTTATCCATTAATCTTGCCGCCCACTATATGGCCACTGAAAAACCTCGTGGCGCACACCAAGGGGCAGTAAGTTTAGTCATTTTCTCTTCGTCAGTCAGGAGCCAATGGTTAATTCCCATGTCCCAATCTTCAAAGGAAGATGTTGATGGCGGTACAGTATTTTTCCGGAGCCCGGTTGTGCGTTAACTTCTTCCGGTGAAGTGCGTTTCGGTGGTTTCGCTGTTGCAAAGTACGCGCATGAGGACGCCTTATAAGTCTTGGTATTATAGAATAACGTTTTCTTTCTATAATAACTTAAGTGCATTTCAATATCTAAATTCTAACTAACCCTACAACAAAAATTCCTAGCCTATATATATACAAAAGTGTGGAGAATATTCTAGAAATGAGTATGTTCTGGCAATAAGAAGATTCTAGAATTAAGAATATTCTAGAGAATTCCACAAATTTCATTCCAGAAGGTTCCAATATATTCTTCAATGATCTATAACATTGTACAATATTCTATAGAATGTCTAGAGTGTTCTATTGGTTTCTGGAATCGATTTCCAGAAAAGTTTAAGTTTTTCATACTTATTTCTTGTATAAATCGAGGGATTCGTGACATTCGCCAAATAAACCGTTATCATTCGGAATCGACAGCAGATGCGCGATCTGAAATGGAAATATGAAAAAGTTAAAATTGGAGTAAGGTATTGATGCTCCCTTCAGACGTAATTAAAATACTACAAAAAACTAAAATATCGATACGGTCGATAATCGTCGCAACTTCTTGTTAGTTACTCTCGTTAAATATAGAATCGTAAGAGTATATAGAAAATCAATTTCCAAGTATACACTCATTTGTCATCAAATATTTAATTTCAATTCACATAAAATATGTTAAAAATAAAAATGAATTAAGAGTTATACACCCTTGGTTTTATTTTGGTTCTTGATTAAATGGCAAATTATAATCTGGAAAGAAATTACCAAACACTGTCAAGTCCAACCTATCGGCCAAAACGGTTTTATTAGTCATTTCTATACCACATTAATGGCACTCATATACACTACAAGTATAATTACTTACCTAATGTGATCGCAGCTAAAGGACATCATTGTCCCTAAACTAGTGTACATTTCTACTGTCTTTCACCTTAGCATGTAAATCTGTTCTCTGAGAACGATGAATATCATGTGAAATTAAAACCGACCAATGAACAATTTGCGCGTAGCCATTATTACATTCATTACAAAATGAATACTTGTACGCAACATGTGAATGATATGATAATGTGCGATTCTTCTGATATCGTTTTGATTAGTATCAATTCGACACCTCATACACAGTTATTTGGATAACGATAACCAAGGTTCCATTTATTTATTAATAAGGGCATGTGGTGTTAACGACTATTGGCAGCAACGTAAGACATTTAACTTAAAATAGCCTGGTTATTTCACTTAATGAGTTAATGCAACCAAACGTACAGCTGGCTTTAGAACGGTTTTTCATTATATTTTATTATATCTTAATACACATACCTGTATATCACTGACACATGTTTCTACAGCCCCTTCTATATTAATACCTCTAATACCTTCACATCTCTTAATAACCATAGAATTATTAAACAGACCAGAACAATATTCACTAGCACTGTCCATAGTCCATCCATTCTTCCAACTTACATCCTAGAATAAAAGAGTTATCATAACATCATTATAATTAAATACGTAGTGCAAGCAACACCCTTCACAGTAAAATTATATGTTGAAGAATGAGCGTGTCTTATACTACCAAAGTCATGGTGTTGAAAAGTCAAAATATTATCTGGAGTGTCAATTATACTAGTAATTTTATGTGGTTAACTATTAAATACCTTCATTACTAAGGCGGCATATCAGTCAGGGTCCAAGATCAGGTGTTATATTTCGCAAATGAGGGGTTAAGTATTCATTTGGAACAATGACTAAAATGTGTTCTCAAATTTCATGAAACTAGCCTCATTCCAATCGAGAATAGTAGATATGTTTTATGCATAGACCTAACGCTAAAGATATACGTACCCGTCTGAGTCGTTTGTGGTGTAATATTGCTGTTTGTGACCACCGAGGAAGTGATCTTTTCTTTCTTAAAGGATTGATACATTTTTTTTTATGGAACAAGGTATAATCTGTGTCTGAGGAACAGGTTTGCGACCCTGGTACTGGACTACAGTTCACAGATGTTTCTATATTTTCTTGTACGTTTTCATCACAACGACAATGTTCAAATCTACCAGCAGATGTCCAAGCAGACAGGTTTCTCCAGTTGTAAGGATCAAAGAGGTTCACCTCTTTCTGGACTCTGTAAAATCATCATTTAAATAATGCTACGTCCTATTTAGCTTCCCAATCTATTAAATGTAGATTAACGATTTGTTAATCATGTTGAAGAATCGTTCTTGTGATAAAATGTTATTGTAGAGTTCCTCTCACCGTTTTCAGATGCAATCACCAGCTTATTATTACTGGAATATGTATGAACTAAGAATGCAGGATTTTAAACCAAAGGGTTCCTTATTCCTTATTGATTGGCTTCGCGAAACTCGTCACTCAACCATTCATTGTGTTGTATGTTTTCGACAGACAAGGAACTTGGTCAAAAAATGGACAATAAAATTGTTTGAGCTAAATACCTCCATGAGTTAAAATATGCGTTATTGTATTGTACATCAGGTGGATCATCTGTTAATTCACCACATAAACCAGATGTTTTACCAATATCTCTTACTGACGGGTTTATACGTATACTAAGCCAGTTGTGTATCGATTGTTGTTGCTGATAGATGTTAATAACTGTATCGCTTGGAAAATATATCTAAAAGTAAAAAAATGTTTTAAGTCCTTAGTGTGCCATTTTCGGGGTTTAATATGGGTCATAAATATATGTAAGTAGTTTTCAGATGTACTAGAAAACTGCAAATCGCATAAATACCTCAAACAAGAAATTTAACTTTTATTTATTTCGTTCACAATCTTACCAAACACTATGTTGGTCCTATGTTCGTCTTGTTAGGGCAAAAAAAAAAATAGTTCGTAATTGTTCTTCAAATCGGAGGCTCTTAAAAAGACGAGTCGTTTTTGAAACATTCAAAGAATAAGAGTACACCGCGTGATGGTTCGAGACGAAAAAGAGTAGGCAACCGAGAAAAAAAAATGTTCGAAAAAGTTTTACAAAGTTGAGAGAATAGTACATTGAATAATCTTCTTGATGAAATTACATAAATTTAAATATGTAAATGTATATCATGTGTGCAATACAATTCTTTTCAGAAAATCATTGTTTTCAAAGGTCCAAATAATAATTCTTAATCAGCAAATTATGAATAAACTGTTGTTTTTTATTGGATACCCGCAATTTTGTGGGTAAACCGACACTTTTCAGATAATCAGCGGCACATAAATCAGAGAAGTATAGGTGTATTAGAAAAAAAGCGGAAAATGACAAATTATGGACTTCATAGTTTCATTGCACAGATTCGTATTTATTAGAATGGCAAATGATTCATTGTTTTGAATAATAAAAACCATCCTAATCTAAATACATAGTTTAGTCTTCGTTTGATGAATTTAGTTTAGCAATCGCTCTTTTCTGTTCTATAATTGATACTATTGACGATTCGATTTTTCCTCGATTACAATATTAGTTTACCTACCCCAAAAGTCGTTTCTCTCATTTTTCTTACATCAAGAACATCACCACCATCGTCACATAATATGTAGTCAATATACCAGTATCCTAGGTTACAGTGGTTGATCATAAAGGCAGTTCTTCCTACTCTTACTACAACACCACAAACACAAAATCCTGTCCCCACTCCAGAACAATCCGTTACTTGCACTTGTACCTCCACATTATCCATTTGTAATAAGTAGAATGTACCAGCTAATTGAAAGGATTTTCTGTTCCTGCAGAAGAGTATCATCAAAATACCAATGTTAAATGCAAAGGAAACTATTATGTTATATGGTATCATTGAGCCATCATTACATGTATACCGAGATACCAAATTCTCTTCATTAATTTTGATTGGTAGAGAATTAACTTCTCGACCAATTAGATTCTTCCAAATAAAATATTGTGAGAAATTGTTTGAATATCCAAACTCAATATTATTAGTACAAAATACTCTCTGATAATTGAGTCTGAAAGTTCACGGTTGAGTTATTGTCATAAAGTGTCCATTGTCAAACAGCTATTATAGCTTTAGAGGACGAATGGAAAGAATTTCTTCGTTAATCTTTACACCATAATAATATAATATATTATATATATATATATATAATTTAATATCTTTTCCTATTTCATGTATTTTTAAACCTGAAGAAGCATTGTATATATGCGAAAATTTGCCTCATTATATTAAGAGTTAAAGCAGAAGATAGATTTTGACTTTTTATCTTTATCCATGATCTTTACACCACATCAGAATATTCATATTTATTTGAAATGTCATGCAAATCAATGATATTGCTAGTAAGCAAGTACGACTACTCGAATGGAGTATGTCCCCCATTTCGCCACTATCGGGAAAATCCCTCCTGAAAACTTTGAAAATTGCTTAAAGATGGTCGAAAGCGTTAGAATGCTCTGAATTCTTTTGTGAATATTAATGAAACGTGATATTAACTTTCTGGCAGGTTTCACTTCACTGGCCTATCGAAACGGGGGTTGATGCGATACTGCAACATTCCCGATAATTCAGGAGGCCGCCATTCAGAATCACCATACTTTTACACCAAATGTTACGAGATTTCTAATTGGATAAATTGAATGGTGATGTCTGCCAAGAAATGTTATTAGTTTGATAGCAACTGGACTACAATTGTGCAAGCCATGGATACATATCATGGAAAATATCGTACTGTTGCTAAAGGAACATGTATTAACCTACACTATTTTGTCCAGTCACTTTTGATTTCAATGAAGAAATTTGCCAATGACTTTGCTAATGACTGTGCTAATAGTTGATCCTAGGGAATCAAAGAGAAAGATGATGGATCACTTTCCTAGAACTCTTATCAAGATACATGAAAAATCCGCAATAGATGAAGGATGGCCATATTTTCAAAATGCACGAAATTAAACCAGACTGTCGTGGCCAATTCCAACAGATCATCAACGAAACCATGACTAGAGTTACCATTTTCCCTGCCAACGAGGAAAGTGAATATTTATTATCAGGTTGTGAACACGGAAGTAGACGTCAGTAAGCAGATAGCCAAGGGCAGTGACCTTTGACCGTATCAATTTAAGGTTAACAAAGGTCAAGGTCACGAAATATAAGTCATCAAATTTTCAAAATGCATACGGCTATAAAACCGGAAGCTGGCGTCGGACATCAAATATGAAATTATAAATAAATAGCCAATGACCTTTGATCCTACAAAAGTCAAGTTTAACAAAGGTCAAAGTCAAAAGTTGAACATATAGTAATTCTAAAACCTGTTCCTTTTTTTGAACTATAAAGCTGAAAGAACTGTGCTTTTTTAGACAAACTGGCTAAATAAATGAGGTAATTGTGTGAAAAGTTCATTTTTAAACAAATGTATTTTATGCAAGTTATGACCGTGCCCTAAAATGTAAACAATAAGTAATTTGACCCGGATGTGCCACGCCCACATCACTGTCGTAGGTTAATTCATATTTAAAATGTCTTTTAAAAAAATTTCCATTTTGCATTAAAAAAACTATTGTAATATATCACGGGAGAAAGAGCATGAGAAGCACATGAGGAATCCGAAAAAAATAACCCTTTATTAGTTCACATGCTAGAGCAATCCAAAGTTGTGAATTTGGCTGTTTTCGGACAGCCATAAAACCGGAAGTAGATGTCAAATATCAAAGTATTTACTGATAGCCAAGGTCATTGACCTTTGACCTGTGATCTATCACACAATTTTCAGAGATATATTTCAAGATGCCATTGTCCAACCCTGAAAGTCATCGAATAAAACAGCAATATCAAGGCAACTTCACTATTTCAACTTGCGTTCAATGTGCACTCCGTATTCTTCGACCACCAATCGCAACTGTTTGTTCCATCCAAATTTCAGCCTCCAAGCCATGTTTGTCTGATTCCGTTTCAGAGGCAATTTCATAAAACCAAAATCTTTCACATTTTTCAAAATGACGTTTCTTTGCACTTTAAAATATTTGCTTTAAGTGTTAATACTCGATCAAGCCAGAATTGCCATTTCATTTTTAGTTTTCCATACAGACGCTGGCCAGAATAAAAAAAAATAAATCCATGGACTTAGTTTGATTCTTACGCAATGCGTAATCGTTTTGATTTTGCCTTTTACATTGTTTTGGTTTCATTGAGTAACCTTATAGTTAAATTACTTTTAACATAGTAAACAAGCTCATATCATTTCCTTATAGATCGCAAAAAATCAATTCAATTAACTACCAAAATTGATCTCAAGACAGTGGCTGTTTTCTGAAGTCAGAATGTGATTTATTTTAGTATTTGTCCGATCTAATTGGATTTACTGTAAAAGGTCTGAAACGCCAATAGTTGATTATTGCTTATCTTTGATATTACTTATAATTACATGTTTTCATCTTAAGAAAATTATTTGTTACCAAAAGGTGGTGGAGAAATCCTCTAAATACGGATCTTGGTGAATTCCACAGGATCTGCCTTCAATGAGGGATGTATTCTTGAATATATTGATCTGAAAGGACGAAAATAGAGGTAAGAAAAGTTAAAACTTCATAATTGTTCCTGTGGTCGAAAACATCAAATGAAGGAAACCTTACCGTTACTGGTTCGAGGAAGTAATTCTGCCAGATAGGGTGACTGAAATATGAACTGTCCGTTCGTAGAAATATTTTCTTCTGAATAACAGATTCTCCATAATTCTCAGTTACTGTTGAAGTGATCTCTAAAAAATAATGCCAAGACCATCGCGAAGTCTGGATGAAAATACCACACCCACCATTAGCTGTTGGAGTAGGTTCGCAAAGATCCTCTCCTTCCTTGGGTATATCAGCAGTTACTGTTAATAAACATCCACCAGTTTCAGCACAACCGATAGGAACTGTAGACCAAAACGATATTCTTCCCTTTTCTCCTTCTTTTAAATTTATATTCGGATTCTGAACCTTTTTAAAATATGATCAATACGTCAATAGAATCATCGATGAATATTAAAGGGGTTGTAATGAGGTTTACTAAAAACTTTATTTGTATCTGGGACACTGATAGCATCAACTTGCACCATTCCAATTTTCAACCAGACGTTTGTAGTTCCTGCAATTCCACTTAAACTAAAGTTTTATGACGTCACTAATCGAGAAATCTATATGTGATAAAGCATATTTGCGATGAGTGACGTCATAAAACACTTGGTTTAAGTGGAATTGCAGGAACCACAGATTGGAGATTAGAATGGTGCAAATTGATTATATCAATAGACATATAAATATTAGAAAAACCTCTTTTCAATCCCTTTAAAGGTAAACAATGAAAAAGATATAGATGTTTGGCGGCTGCCACCCACAAATATTACGTTATAAATATAAAAACACAATAAAATTCTTGAAATAATTTGAATTGAATTAATTTATAAATAAAAGTAACATTTAAGAAAATATTCAATTCAATAAAAAAAAAGAGCATTGGCAAAAAAAAAAAATAATCATTGAAGAAAAAAAAAATCAAAGCAAATTTAAAAATTATGTATTCAAAATAAAAAATCAATATTTTTGAATTAAGACAAAATGAAAAAAGGTACTGGATTAATTTGTCATAGCTGAGGAATGAGCACTGGCTCCTTGTAAGGACGGTGCCGATTTCGAACAGTGTCTGCACAGACGGTCACTGAATGTGGCCATTGTTCTGAAGAGCTGTTAGTCCGAAACATCTGCCTCTATTCCAGCTTCTGATGGATATTTTGACAGATGTCAGCTGCTGGAATAATGACAGATGTTTCGGTCTGAAGAGCTATTGGAATGATAAATTTCAATCCGGAAGCCACCATATTGATATCACCAAATCTTGTAAATCTCTTTAGAAACTACAATCAAATGCCAAAAGTCTCTACGCAACGGATTTATGCATTCCGATTTTGCTTTTCTTTTTTTCCCGGTTTAATATTTTCAGTAATTGTCCAAACTTTGAAGGCCACTATCTTGCGACCTCGACCTTTGACGATTTTGTGACCTGAACAAAGGTTATTGCCGTTTCATTTTTTATGTACGATGTTTACTTCCGGTTTAAAAGTCATCTGAAAATTGCGATTTATAATTTGAAACAGCTTTGTCATGTGACTTAATTTACATACGTCACCAATTCTTTTTGGATCTAACTATGCTTGGTCTTCTCTGTCGATTGATGTATAACACTAGATATTTAATCAAAATTACGCTTTTAACCCTTGTGCTAGCACGTCGTTTGAATAACATTGGATAGAACCTGGGGTATTTGGGAACCCCTATTGGTAGAATATTATGTACTCTTCATATTGAATATATCCATAAATTTATTTAATAATTTGAATTAATTTGTGTGTAGAACAGATTAATCTTAATCTTTGAAATAATGTACTGTGTCAATGTTTATTATCGATCAAATGTTGTTAAGATTTTTTAATAGTTTCCGTATGGTACAATACAATTCTTACAGGTGTATTGAAACTCGGCCCCACTTTCAACCAATTCTATATATTACTTGGCTGTCATGGAAAAATTTGACTTGGTTTAAACAGTATTTATTTCAAAACAAATATACACATCATCACCTCAATAAGCTATAAACTATTGTCTTTTTTCTTTCATTAATCATCACATAAGTTACAAACTATTATTATTAGTCTTTGATAATCACTCAGATAAGCTACTAATTATAATTAATTATCAAAGTTTTTAAACTAGGGACATTTTTAATTTTGGGGGTGGGGGGATCATTTCGACCAATGATTTTGGTTGAAATCAAAGAGTAATTTTAGGGGCCATTTTGACTATTGTATTTAGGGTCATTTCGACCTATTTTGACTTTTGGGGCCATTATGACATGGGAACATTTCGGTTTAGTGCCAAATTGACTTTAACCTAAGATAACTAGCTTTAGGAGTACATTACAATTTAATTTTATTCACTGAAATCCAGTTTTAGCACTAAATTTATCTGGGGTCTAAATGTACCCCAACATACTAGCATGGTGTGTTTCAATTTAAAAGGGTAACATATCCGCTAATTGTGATTGTTGCACAGTAGACTGATCATGAACAGATTAAGAATTCATTCAGCTACAATGTTTGAAATATCCAAATTGCTATCTTCGATGGCATTTTGGAAATTCGATAAAAAATTGGTGCTGGGGTTCCGAAATACCCCAAGTTCTAGCACAAGGGTTAAAAACTCGAAAATTGTTGTGCTTTGTTCTTTAGTATCCAAGGAATTTTCTTATTCTATAGTTCTGAAGATATTCAGAAAAACTATTGTAGTTCAAAAATGTGAAAAAATTCGACCCGGATATAACATGTCAATATTCTATGAATCGAAAATGTACATGTAACTAGCAAATTACCCAATTTGATTGATTTTGTTGTCAATGGAAATACTAGAAGTTGGAGTTACCTGAATTTTTTAATTCGATTCCATTGTTTAGTTATTAACAGTTTTATTTTTTGAAAATTACCAAAATTTCATGGTTTGTATCTTGTGACCGTCACGTTTGTGAACTCCTTGTAAAACTCGTAAAAATAAATTGTTTATGTATTTTTTAACGTATTTTTTTCTTTTCTGTCGATTGATGTATAACACTAAATATTTAATCAAAATTACGCTTTTTTATGTATTTTTTTCAACTGGAAATGATGCAGGACAAATTTTTTCAATATCTTTTCTAACTTCTACAATTTTCTTTTGATCGATCTGATAACTAAACGATTTTGATTTCGAACTAAATCAGTTTCTAAGGTTCCGATATCACTTCCGATTTTGACGTTATCGCTTGTAAAGTTGAAATTTCACTCCCCTGAATTTTTAAAATTCTTATCGCAAGATATTAGTATCAACAAATCCAACCCGGAAGTAACGGTTCAGCCGCCATATATGACTTTCAAAATGGGGCTTCATATCATGTTTAAATCTGACTTGCATGATTTGAACAAATAATTGATTGCACAAAATCGTATAAGCATTTAATTTTCGATTTTGATTTATTTCTTTTCAATGGTATATAACACTGGACTTTTTGATCAAAATTGTGCTTTTAAACTAAAAATGGTGTACTGCTTTCCATCGTAACGCTGCGTAATTCAACTATTGCCTTAAAAACGCAAGCCCTTAAATTGAAACTATGGATATGTCCTGATCCAATACCTGTATACCCTTGAAATTTGAACCATATTCTTTGCATTTACCTCATAATATGAATATTTTCATAATTAACAAAGTGTACAATAAAGGAAAAGGTTTTACCTTTAACATGGATGATCTTGACTTTTATAGGTATCATTGATCTATGATGTCAATTCACACTTTGATCTTTAATGTTCGACATCTACTTCCGGTGTTATAGACTTCCGAAAACAGTTATTTTCAAAACTTTAAAGGCTCATATCTCGTAACCTTGACCTTTGGTGACTATGAGACCTGAACAAAAGTCATAGCCCTTGACGAAATATATCACATGATGCATTTATGTTAAAATCTGTTTTTAAATTTCGTATGTAATGTTTTTAATGTCCTGTTTGAATTTTTTGAAAATTGACAAGTCTATATCACGTGACCTTCACCTTCAGTGACCTTGAGTTTTCAGTGTCCTTGACCTCGGTTTGGATGACAAACATCAACTTCCAGATTAATAGTCGACCGAAAATTGACATTTTTGCAAGTTTGGACGGCTATGCCACATTCTCTAATAAACACAGGGGCTTGATGTTTTCAGATTATCAATGCCCTTAACAATCTCTTTGATTATATATTACAATGATGTATGAAGGCAATAGTCTCTTAATGAACACAGTCTCTTAGAACAGAAGGATTTATTGTTTCTCTTATAAACCTAAGATGGTAGACGATGTAAATTGGCGATATTTTTTATTCAAGACGAATGGATTATCTATATTTTATTGCCCGATCCTGGCGAATTTCAAAATTTCAAAAAGAAAATTAGCTCATGTCGAGTTGTTTATTTCTTGTTCACAAATTGTAGGCTTAAAAGGTCCGTTGCCACGCTCGGAGCTGTTCACGGGTCTACTTTAATATTATTATTGTTTTATTTGAATTTTCTTTAAAATCAAATTGACGTTATTTTACCTGATTTTCCTTTTATTTTTAGATTTTAATTTAAAATTTAGATAAATTTCAATTCTATTTATTTGATGTTTTATCCTATAGCCGAAACATGCAGTATGGTTGCTGCATTTTGTTTTGTCCCGAATCTAAAACCGGTGTGAATAATTGCCAACTGTGACAAATGTACAAACAAATTTAGTACAATAATGGTGGCAAAAATAGTTTAGGTCATATAATTGTAACTAAGCACGATTTAAGCTAAACAATGAATGGGATATAGAAGTTTTCATTTTTCATTGCATTGGAGAAGTTATTGAATTAATAAAGACTATTACCAGTAGACTGTAGCACACGAAGCGGGCGTCGAAATTTTTATCCTTGAAAGATGACTGAGACATAGTTCCATTGTTTGATATAAAAATAATATGACTTTATCCAGTGTCAATAGAAAACTTTAAAGAGGAAAGTCTATTTTATGTGTTAATATTGGGTTAAGATTGCAAAAACAAGAAAATTGATAACTCACTGTCATCCCAATAAATTTTTTCCTACTAGTTGACGGGAAACTCGATCGCCCCCCACTTGTATCTACGGCTGCACTTATATCACAGTGAAGCTAAAGTAAATAAAAAAAATATCAGCCTAGGGGCCTTATTCTTGAAAACTTAAATTAAAATAATTTTAGTGTTCCAGTTACCTGATTGGTTATCCAATCAGATTACTGTATTTCTTAAAATCTGGATTTCATTTAAAGGGACAGATGCGTCATTTTTTTTAGCTTAGCCAATCAGTAATAGTGTTCACAGCCCACTGTCCAAATTCATGTGTGCCCAGAATTATCTGCATTTGAATGTTAAAATGATGACTCGTCATACTGTCCCTTTAAGCTTTAATGAATAAGGCCCCAATTAAAAAAAAAATCACAATTTAAGTACAATACATCTATATTTGAGATCAACTGTGACTCACAGCTTCCGTGTTCAAATTATCTATGCACTTATCGGACTGTTTTTATTATGTTGAAGTTACATTTATATTAAATTGATCGACCGTGACCTATATATTTTAAGACTGGCGTAGGTAGCTGCGATTACATGTGTACGTAAGCGTAACTTAAACTCAAACGCATGCTTAAACTCTAATTAAAACTGGATTACATGTGCCCGTACGAAGATTCCACAAAACCGTCAACGTCAAAGGGAAATGACGCGGTATTAGATCAGGAAAAAGGGGGAGAAGAGGAACGTCACCCACAGTAATGATTCCATAGAAGGGATTCCCTCATTTTGGCATTTTTGTCCGTTGAAGATGAGGACAAGCAGAAAATTGAATTGTTACATTGTTACCTGAAAGCCGAGTGTAGTGATGTTACTGTCTCTTAGCCTAGTATCTGTTAAACTTCTGATTTTATTGACATCGTTATAATCAGTATAGTTAGACTCGTATACCATCACATCATCAACAAACCTATAAATATAAATCATATATAACTAAAATCGTTCAACTGCATGGTTGGACTTGGTGATTGTACTATCAGAGAAATTTGATCAAAACGTTATTATCAAATTTTTTATCTGAATTTTGGTTTCTATTAAATGCTTTGTTCAATAGAATTTTTCCTTTTGTTTTAAAAACTTTTGAAATTCTTCAGGAAACGAATTAAGGAAAAATCTCGTGAGATTAAAGATTATAAAAATAGCTCTATACAATTGAATTGGGAATTACATTGTCCTTGTTTACAAAGCATCTGATCATTCTGATTAGAATACAGATCTAGATATTTCGCTCAAACTTTAATCTTTCAGCTATAGTCGAGCAAATATATTTTTACTCAAGACAGAAATACAACCAGTCTATTATATTTTCAAGGTACCTCATTTAGATTGTTCCAGTTTTATCCCTTCATGGAACATTGCATTGATTAGAAATGGTAAATAAATGTATGCAGCTTGGTTAAAGGGGCTATCTGGCTTTTAGGTAAAAAAAAAATTGGCAAAATACGTTCCCCTACTTATATGAAAGTTTTAACTTAAAGTATTTAATCCAAAGAAAGACAAATTTAGCGAAATATGTCTCTTACTATCACGAAGCTTTAAACTACAAATATCGAGGTAAACACCAAAGCTAGATTTGTTTTATTTCCATCTAAGATCGTCCAATGTTCATATTCAATTGAGGGATTAATCAAACCCACTACCTTTTGTACCCTAGAAAGTATACTGTACTGGCTGTGTTCATGTTTGGACGGTACCCAGTGCATGGTTTGTAATTTGATCGAGGTTGATTTGGGCCTTGTATATAAAAAGTCTCTAGAAAAACTAGAACTGTACCAAACTCAAATATGAAATTTCACTTTTTTATTAACAAACTTTTCTTCTCTGAGTGGGTCTGGATGATTAAGGCTGCTGTGGTATTAAACGTTCTTCAAAATGGAGGGTTTTGAAAAATGCGAGTCGTCATTTTAACTTTCAAATATGATTAATTATAGATACACCAAATGGCTAAGGAAGCTCAAACTTCGATTGTAAGATGTGAATACTATGTTTCCGAGACAAAGGTTCTGTTGACCCCCGAAAATGGCGAATCGTGTAATTTAAGAAAAATTATATGTGCTTACCTATACATTGCTACATTAAAAGCAGTCTCTATTCTACTCCCCTCATCCACTATAAAAAATACTATAAATACAAATAGAATGTTATAAATAATAACTTACCATGTCGCCTTGTATACATGTGAATCTTGATTAGGATTGGGAAAAGAACAGTCGAATATAAATTCCTGTTCATCGTCGGAACCAGGAACCGGTCTTAGGTTTGTATTAACAGTCACGTTTGTGTTAAAATCTAATAGATCTGAAAACAAAGAAAAGAGATCCAAAGGAGTTTTCTCCAACATAACACGGAAAACAGAAAAAAATCGACTGAAGACTTGCAGTAAAAGAAGGTCAGTGTCTCATACTACCTTGTTATACATGTATTTTGTATTTAAAACAATTAGATGCAGACTTACCGGTTTGGATTCCATCTGTAATAGTAAATAATTCAGATAATAATCATATGATAATTTAGTAAATAATTCAGATAATAATACGATAAATGATTACGATAATAATTGAATAAAAACATCAGTTACTTGTTCAAAATTCATTAAAACATTCAAGTAATAGAGAACATAAAAAATAATTCAGATAATAATTAAGATTATAGTTTATTATATAATTCGGTAAATAATAATAGTACTGTAAATAATTCAAATAATTCAATAAATATTTTCGGTAAATAATTGTAAACAGAAATTCTGATTATTAACGATTAATAATTCAATAAATATTAAGAAAATAATTTTGATCCGATTTATTCGACCATCTAATCAGATTTTTCAGCTGGCCAGTTTTTAAGTGGCTGAATTAGCTAGCCAAAAAAAAAATCAGACGAATAAAGCAGCTAAAACGGATTTCCTTAATTAATGTATTAAATTATTCATGTTATTATGCATGAACATACATTGTACACGACAGGCAGCATATTATAGAAATCACAAATGTTAGTCAAATTGTTATAGATTTAAATTAAATGAGCTAGTAACGATCGTCTTGAATTTGAGACCAAGGCCTGTGATGGAAAACAATAAACTACCGCCACGCCGCTTGCATGTATGGCTAGATGTGCCGAGCAAATTTCGCAAGGTGAGGATATAAATGTATTTTCCAGAAAACCAAAGGGTTTTCCTTTTCATCATCTGCCAATGCATGTGTCAAATACACTCGCTTACTTAATTCTCAATCACGTGACTTGGCTCGACAACAGACATTTCTGCTAACAGAGCTCATTTGACAATATTAGATGGCGGCCCTGATTCATTATCTGGTACTGAAGTAGACTGAATGATTGACTTATTTCCTAATTAACTGGTTTGGCATTTTTAATAAATTTTCATATGTTCAGAAAACAAAGTATGCATCAAGCTGACACGCCAATGTTGGTGATGTAGAAATAGCTTATACTTTTTCAATTTAAAACAAGCCAGAATAAAACTACTTTAAAAGTCAGCATTACCTAGACAATATGCAGCGCCACTATTTAACGGTCGTACCAATTTGTATATGGTTAATCGATCAGAACATTTTAACGCCTTGATATCCATTTGGGTTATACAATCACGAATACACGCTTTAACGTCTACTATAACACGTTTAACACGCGGTGCACCTGCAAAATAAAATGTCAGTCTTGCATTGATTTTTGACAGAGGCAAACATGAAGTTAGAAATTATCACATCATTATATGTGAACAACAAGAACGACAAAATAAATTGATACAAGTCACTGACCACCAGATCATGTTCATTTTATCTTATATGAACATATGAACCATAGATTCTAGAACGCTAATGGATCGAACTAAACGAACAGGATCGGGTGATTAAAAGAGTGATCAGGCATCGTTAATCTGCTTCTGTTATAACTGTACAGATTAATTCGAAATTTATCATGGCATGATATCTACTTGAATTTAGTGGTTATCGTACTTACTTTGTAAAAAGATGGGAAATTTAGCTCCACAGTGTCCACTAGCAGGTTGCACAGACGGAATGATTAAGTCTTGACTACCATACCACCCCTCTCTCATAAATCTATCACTCAACGTTGTTGTTTCATCATAATTCACAGATCGTTTTGATTGATGTGTGTAGGAGGAAAACAGTCTCTTGTCGCATAAATCTGAAACTAAAATAATATGCAAAGTCTTTTAGATAGAAGAAAAAATTCTGACAACCGACCAATTTCATTACTGCAACCATACACCATTGCCCCTCCAGATATATAACTTGACTCTCCGAACAAACAGGTCTGGTTACGGGCCTGTTAAAATACGAGGAGATTTCGGATTTCAAACGTCTTCTCGATTACTTCTGTTTATTTTGCACAATCTGCCGCATTGTGGTAAATCTGTGGTTGGTCCACACAATTTGAATCATTTAGAAGAAATGATTCCGTAAACAGTGCTTGGAGGGTGTAGATTTTTGGCAATTTGGTAGATTTTGTTATTTGTTATGTTTTAGTGATTTGATGTTTTACAGTGCAAGGGGTAATTGGCAGAATAGAATATCATCCAGAGTTAAGGGTTTTTTCTATAAACAGACTACAGTACAACAGTGGACCACCAATCTGGAATATAATCTCTAGATATTTGCATTGATAAAATGGAAATGAGGTCATATAAATACAACACAAAATCGCCACCCGTTGAAGAGATAACACATTATTTTTCCTATCTCCAAAGTAAGGTTTAGTTTTCTGTCAACTTTAATTCATTACCGAATATCTAAACTTTACAGATCTTGCGATCAAATCGCTTGACTGATATGAGAACAAGTGTCTATAAAATGTAGAAATGTACAAATCGGTACGATTTTAAATTCTGCTAAAATATGTATCCATGATTTCAATGATATAGCATAGACCAAGTTGAAAATCCATATTTTAAAACAGAAAGTCGAAAACGCACTCACATGTAAATTTAAAAAGATATGGTGCGCTTACTTTTATTCACGATTAAACTCGACACATTGGGTTGGCTAAACAGATATAATCACACAATTTCATGTTAAAAGATTAAAAGAATCGTTTCATCATACATAATAAGAACATTCCAGCTTTTTAATGCAGCCAACGTCAAGAAAACGTGTTTTCAAATTCGCGAATATCAACACTCAAAGTGATCTGTGGAAGCAGTCGGCGGTTGTCGGAGAAACCAAGAGACCGTGGTGCGTTCCTATATTTGTAGTTTTATGTATGTTTAGTGTATGTTGAGCAGCTATGACGGGTGTGGCACCAGGGAGGTGATGCTTACTCTTCTTGACACCTGATACCACTTTTCATTATTAAATATTTACTCACATATGGTTGGTTTAATTCCTCATGTAATATTAGCTGCTACCATATGTTTAGCTAAAATGTTGTTTTGGATTTTGGGTTTCGTTTTGCGGTTTGGATCATTAGTTATTTACAATACTACACCCTTTAGAACATAACCCAGGGTTTGGTGATGTCTGGTGTTTTTCATGGTGTCCAAACCATGTCCAAAATATTCAAGCTTCAGTCATACACTTCTTTTTAACTTTTTAAGGCGATACTGTATAATATTACCATGTTTTGTCAAAATGCGACAATTGAGCTAACAATTTAATGCGTTTTCAAGATTTAGGTCAATAACTTAAATTTTTTTTTATTTTTAATTGGTTTCATCCATTGGTGATAATTTCACTAAGTTTCGTCATAATCCGTCATGAATTGTGTCTTCTAGAGTATTTAAAAGCTGGCAATTGAACACGTTTCCGAAAATAAAGGCAAAATATTTTTCGATTTTCGAGAGTTTTATCCTTGGGTGATTACGAACACTTTCACAAAGTTTCGTCAAGATCTGTCAGGAATTGTGCCTTCTAGAGTATTCACGAGAATTTCAAGATCAAGGGCAATAACTCATACTGTATATTTTTCGATTCTTCTGATTTTCAATAGGGTTCTTCCTTGGGTGTTACAAAATACTAAGTTTCGTCAAAATCGAATTGTGCTCTCTAGGGTGTTTATTTCATGCGGGCGTATAAAAATGAAGAGATAGACCCATTCTGTTCCACAAATGTAAATGCTGTTGATGAACCAGGGGAAAAAGAGGATTATGAAGAGAGAGTTAAGAAACTTTTTAGATTCTTACCAGTTTGACTGTATGACCAATCCAAAATACAAAACAACAATAAACCGAGAAGCAACATTGCTACTGTTCTCGAATAGCTGGTTAGAGAGTTAAATCTAGCATGTCTCTAGGTTTACAATTAAATGATTCAAAATCATATAAATAGATAAAAGTACCTTCCCGGTCCCTTTTCAATAAAGTACTTCATTGGCTAGATACCCCCTAAAAAATAAAATCTATTTCTTATTAGGTCAAATATCTTCCTGGTCCAAAACCAATCAAATCACGTATACGAGAAGTTTTTTTTTTTTAAATGCATAATATTACAACTATAAACAAGGACGTAAATTGATGTGCACATAATTAACCAGGCCCGTAGATACAATGCTTAAATGAACAGCTCACAATCGTATGCTCCAAACGAGAGCGACGGAAACAAGTTTCCTTTCTCCGAGTAAATCTCCAAAAATAGACACGTTATAAACTGAAGGCCAAAAGAAACTTTACAAAGGTTTGAAAACACCCATAGATAAAAAAAAACAACATAATATAAATGATTGGATTTAATTTTCCGTAGGACGACGGTACGGACGAACACAACACCCCAGAGTAGTTCAATTGGGGACATATTTGGGGTACATGCAGGCCACGGCAACACGTTGATATTGATGACTCTAGGTTACGATTCAGCCTGTATATGGAAAGAGGTTATGGAGATGCATGTTTACGCAAATACAGTCACTGCGTGGTATGATTACCCTTGTTTTGTCCGTTCCAGGCCTGTCTGAAATATGCCTGTCTGAACCATTTTATGAGCTGTTGTTGCAGTGTTATTTATGTCCTTTTTCTTGTGTGTGTTTTGTTTATCGTTGTGTAAGCCCGACATGCCATTCAACCAGTTTTTTTATCATTGGTGCATAAGAATTCTTGTGTATTCTAGGATCATGTGATTTTCTCTTTTTTCGAGAAATTTACCACATGCTGTCAATGTAATTTGGATTGATAGTTTCGAACTTGCTATATATTTTTGGTTAAAATTTACTTTTTTTTAAAGTGGTAAAGTTTCTTTTTGCCTTGAGTTTGGTATATCCGTAAGACGAAATTCACGAAGAATCTCCAAGGGTTCACCTCGCAAAGTATTGCAGATAATTAGTTAATGCCATGTTATAGCTTGCCAAAACGGCTGCCTCCATTCCAGCTATTTTGAAAGTTGTCAGCTGCTGAAGAGATAAAGAAAATAAGACTTCATTTTTGGGAAATTTAATCATAATTTTAATCTAATGGGGCTTTTAAACCTATTTATTTAATTTGAATCCATCATACCCAGATATATTAAGAAAGATGGATATTTTTTTGTAGTTCCGAAATGACATCATAATCCCCCTACACCATTTATGTCGCGTTTGCGGTTCTATCAAAGTTGATCTCTCTTCGAACCCCATACTTTGCCAAATAAAAGAGTCTAAAAGCTCAGTTATTTTTTTGAATTTTCGTCACTATCGTATTCAGTGTGATTGGTTAGTTTCCGTCTTAGAACTATAAAGGGCTTTATCAGCATGAATAACATTTCGTTCTCTCCGATGGAAGAAATAATTGCCAGAATTAATGTGATCTTGTTTTCATTTTTGCAAAATAGATGTACCATGCAGTTGCCTGGATTTCAATTCCTCCTCCTAATAAACTTGTAAACGGTCCTAGTCGACCTATGAAACGTCTATTGGTAATGTCATCAAATGCATCTAAATCATCCAGAAATGGTAGATTTTGAGACCCATCAGAGCGACCAAATGAATTTCTTTTGATTTAAACAGATAGAATTAAAAGTTAAAATTGGTCGGGTGTAATTTTAAGTTTAGCATTATATTAATTAATTATATTATGTTAGTAAAAAAAACACTGCCTTCGTTTCTAAAAATATAAACTAGATTTATCTAAATATCGGCCACGAAACCAAGCGAGCGGGTCGCCCTTCCTGTATTCTTATTCAACGATTGGAATTTAATCAGTTTGCTTGAATAACAATAAAGACAAGTACAATGAAGACATTGCTGTATAATTCGGCCCTTAAATTTTTGCACGACAATACACTGTTGTATCAAATTTCAGTATCCAGTTTCCACTAAACACGACATGATATTGCAAGTTATTGTAAACATATTCATTTTATACTATTATACAACCAAGTATCGCATGGAATGGATCAATGTCGATTGAATTGAATATCAGACTTGTGCATTACATTGGGTCGAAACAAAAACAGTGGTATCAAATTCCCTTTCTGAAAACAGCAGGGTCCAAAAAATTGGATTGCCCACCAATGACCATTATTTCACAACAGTCACGACGCATAATTAATATTTATACCATTATATCTATATTACTCCTTGACAGGCAGACAAGCATTGAATTGATATGACTCTAATTCAGGGCCGTAACCAGACTTGATTACTCGGGGGTGGGGGTGGAGGAGCCAAGTAATATATCCGGAGGTGCAATGGTGTATAGTGTTTAGTTGCAGCTATGGAATTGGTCGGTTGTCAGAATTTTTTACGAGGGTCGATCCATTTTTTAGGAGTCTGCTGTATTCAGAGAGGGAATTTGTCAATCTACCATTACCTAGCCAACAAACAAAAACAACTGTCCATCGATAGACAAATAGACCAAGCGTGTTGATAATTTGACATTTTGATATTGTAGTACATTAAAACTTGTTATATAATAAATCCTTGGCAAACGAATGCAGGTCTGGTTGCACGAGGCGAGGGCAATTATAGTCTTTAATCGATAACGATTTATTGATTTTATATTACTATTTTTGTATATCTATGTTTGCAAACCTAGGGTAACTAATTCCTTCTTAAAGAAGCTGTTATCATCTGCAACATAGTTCTCGATACAGTTAATTCACGATTTTCAATAAGTTTCAGCGACATTTCATCGCCCCAGGTATACTAGTGTTCATTGTGTTATAACCCGTTTCGGTTACAGCATCAGTATGACGGGTTCATCATGGCATCATTGCCTGGGATTGTGGTTCTATTCTAGTTCCCGGCACCATTTAAATAAACACACTTTTCTTCTACAAAGGTAAATACAGTATACGTTCACATCTTTACATTCTACTTCCTTTCCAAACAGCCGTGTAACTCCCCTTATTTTAGTTTCTTACTCATTAAATATTCACGTGAAAATTAATTAAAAGCAAAGTGCAATTTAAAAAGACATTCAAATGACCATGAATAGAGGCATTAATTTGAATACGATAAAATGTACCATTAGGTGGATATTTCAATAAGCAACATATATGCATATTGAACATTTGAACTTTGATCTTAACTCCGTCGTCATTAATCCTATCCTATTGACATTCTCAAATGAGTATAATACATTGTTACAGAGTTACGTAAACATATTGATTGTAATTCCTATATGCCGTGTTATTAACTACGCCTGTCAGTCGCCTATAGAAATGGGGCAATGGGGATGTAAATGATTTACCTGCTTAACATGTGATTTATAACTGTTGAATATAGCCCAAAAAAGGTTACCGCAATCGTTTTGGATCGGCGATCAAGGAAGTTATTTCTTGTGGTTTATGTTATCAAATTGTACCATATATTTCAAAGATGGCAGGGTTGATTTTAATTGTGTTGGTATTACCGTTAACAGGTAGGCTGTATTGTATTGTATTTTAACACTATTACATCCATATAGTGAAACTGTACACATTACATGATTGTATATGTACTACATATATCATTATACTATAAAATTTAAATATAGTCTAGACCTTGGTATGGTTAACAACATAACGGCATAAAGAAATCCTCTCTGCCTACAATGAGCTTAGAATTGTATTTTTCTCTCATTTCACAAATATTCAAAATGTAATTTTCAGCTGTATGCCATTTTAGTGTAGGCTTATTTTAACGTTTCATTGTGGGACTTTGCTTTCAGCAAAGTCCCAGTTTGTTATCGAAATGTCAATTCTTTTTTTTTTTTTTTTTTTTTTTTTTTTTTTCGTCCACACCTTCCTGAGCTTAGACTGCACTAGTTGCAGGTACGTTTCAAATTTCATAGACCTTCTATATAGGCGACGATGTGCATAAATATAAATTGGAACATTTTTGCAAAACCGGAAGTGCCACAGTGCAACATGTGCAAAAGTCGAAAATCGGCTCTAGAAGGCGTATTTTTGCATCAATTTTCTTCGGATTTTCATTTTTAAAATCTACCTGTAATTTTTGACCTGATAGCACTTGAACAATTACGAAATTCGAAAATTCGTCGCTCACTTTTTTCGATCAAATTTTTCAATTTTTTTGCAACTTTTTGGCTTTTGCATCGATTGATC